ACAACCAGCATGACAGCGATGCTGCCTTCCCACAAGGAGGGATGGGGTTAGAAAAGGTCGACCCTAAAAATGCACACCTCACCTTACCTCACGGATTTCCGTCTCCGGCGGTAAGGCCCCTTGAAGAACGGAGCTAACACGTCAGAAACCTTCCACAAAAAGGCCGTGCGCGACCGGCCTCAAGCAGTTGTCCCTTGGGCTCTGCGGTCACGCTCTCAGGTCGTCAAGACCAACACTAATCCAATTTCCTTTTCAGGTTCCTCAAGAAATACCCTTCCACGGTGTGGGCAGCCGGGAAGTGACATCAGCCCTCATACCCTTAACAGCACAACAGGCCAAGGTGGTCACATTCAAATCCTTCCTACACCTCCTAATACCTCTCTTATCCTCCCGACTAACCCTCCTTACGTCTCTTTATCACCTCGCACCGCTAGGGCAAACGATTCGAGTACGTGGAACGCCATTCCTGGTCTCCTGAAACCACGCTCTAAACTACACGTAGGAGCTTTTAACGTACGAACACTTTGCCAAATAGGACAGCAGGCTTCCTTAGCTAAAACTTTAGAATCTCGCGCCATCGATGTGTGCTGCCTCTCCGAAACGCGCATACAGGATCCAAGTAGTGTCATTCATTTGACCTCACCATGCCAAAATAAAGAACCGACTCGATTTACGCTTCGTGTATCTGGAAGCCCTGATTCTGCTTCCCGTGGCCTCGCCGGCGTAGGTATAGCATTGAGTCCTAGGGCAGAACTAGCTCTCTTAGAGTGGATCCTAGTAGACAGTCGTTTGTGCGCTGTCCGACTGAACGGAACAGTAAGAATCCGGAAAGATAGGGACACTCGTCGTTGCCTCTTCGTCGTCTCTGCCTATTCTCCCACTGACTGCAGCTCAGATGATGTAAAAGATGAGTTTTACAGAAAGCTTTCGGACCTTCTCCGAAAATATTATCGCCATAAATTTTATTTATTAAAATAATTAATTAACCTCTTACAAATCTCTATCTTAATCTTTTTTCTCAATGATATACTACTCAATTTATCGATAGATAATGTTTCCGTGAAATAGACATCCAATCGCTTTTAAGTTTGAATACATACTTTCTATTAAATAAAATCTAACATGTTTTCCTCATTTCCATTGGATATCATTTAGTAATAAATGTTAAATGCAAGAAACAAATGTAATCGCACATGTATACACTATATAACAACCTATAACTCGAATACATTGATGTGTGCCCAAAGTTCTCTATTCATATTTTAAGATAAATTGAACGATTCGATTTTTTCTGGTTACCTAATCAAACAAGTATTATCAAAAAAATATATTCAGACAATAAAATAGTCAACTTTTTATGCAACAATATAAATATCATATATGCTGTATACTATTTATCATAGATAATTATTATAAAACATTTATTTAACTTCAGTATATATTAGAAAACTGATTTAGTTCAATGGTACTTTTTGTAACAGAAATTTGTTCCACTAAATCCCTGACATTTATGTTATACGTTTACCTACCAGTAAAAAAAAGCGTGAGTTTAAGTGACTGATAATAAAAAATTGGTGATACATTCAAGGTGTACGAAAACTAACTGTTGAACTTTTTACAATGTATTAGTATATTGATTCTTCGTATACGTAACCACATTAAAATTCGTTTTGAATATGGTTTAAAACGGAGAACAGTAAATTTTAGTCAGTATGTTCTGACAAAACGAAGTGTTAAAAAAATGAATTTAACAATGGATGTAACTATTTGAGAGTAATAGACTGAGCGTTGTTAAGCTAATTTATCACAGTCGAAATACATCAAGCTGTCTGTACAATCATACTTATACTCCAACCTGTTGGTTCTCCTTTATTACAAAAACTTTAACTGTCTGAACTTTTTACGTTAGCAATATAAAGTAGAGTTTTATAACTGCGAAACCTATCCAATAATACTTATTTAGTAAGATCTTTAATCTATCGGCATATCCTCTACAGAAAACGAATAGAATGTAAACTACCAATATTTGCTTTAATGGTAAAATCGTATTTCCAATTCAGTGTAGTTTTATCGCAATAATAAAACATTTAAGACATTTGATAGTTGACTTTATATATTTCCTCTCATTATTTTTGGTTGAAACTAGTTTAAATTGCTTTTATTTAGATAAATTCCTTATATTTTGACGTCACGTAACCCTGCGTAATGCTGTGTGCCCAAATTAAGACTTTTCGGTCATATGTAGGAAATAGGTTGAGTGGTTGCTTCCTAATAAGTTGCAACTCATTTTAAAAACATTTGACAAAAAGGCAGTTTATTGTATCACATAAGAATGGCCATTTCAAACAAGAATATTTAGAAAATCAGTAATTTAATGAACAAAAATAAAATTATTGTTTACTCAGCTACCATTATTTGCGTTTAATTAAAGTATCCTTGTACGAAGTTGTTGCTTGGATCTACTACCCATATTGAGTGATTAGAGTATTCCATCATATTTTCCGTCACCATCATGACCAATGAATGGAGGAAAATGATGTGATTAATCTAGGAAAATAACCAGGGCAGTTCAAATGATGAGTTAAACCGAATGATGCTTCATCTTTGATCTCAGTGCTTGTACACAAACACGACTTTAATTAAGACTGCTGAAAATATTACCCACTTGCTGATCAGTTTTGAGAGTGGAATATTTTTATTATTCGAATTTTGCACGAAAATTCGATCAATCAATTTAACATGAGGCGAAATTTCAAAGTTTCTTCAATTTTATGGAAACTTTGCCTAGCGATGGAAGCACTGGACAACCGTTTCATCCTGGGATGGGATTCCTCAGTAATGCGCATCCGCGATCCCGCTCACGAGCTCCGAACCCGGGACTTTCAGTCTCGTGCGTAAACGTTTAATTTCTAGACCACTGAACCGGCATCCAACGGTGTTAATGTCTAACTTCAACCAATTCACAAAATTGTACCACTGTCCACAATTGTCTTCAGTGAGTTACTATCTCACAACAAACACGTTTCCAGGTTTTCCATGGTGATCTATCTCTAATCGACTCATGAATTCAACTATTAAATTGCTACAATCTCACCGAAACCCCCTTTCTGAAAACAATAACATATTTATGCGCTTGTAACCAAACAGCTTCAACTATTGACACTATTAGTAGTTACATCCTAAAACAGAATACAAAACTATTTAGATAGTTTTTTTCGAATAGGTGTATTAATGAAACTACTGCATACATATCAATAATATAAACTCCTAGGTATTTACGACACATAACTCATAACCTATTAATTTTGTTGAAAACTTATCAGCATTCGTTTATTTACTGAATTCTGTGGTCAGCTTGAGCCTATATAGGAAATGATGTTTGAATTAATATCTTTACAACTAAACAACTACATATGGAATAGATTATTGAATGCTATATCTTGAATGAATACTTGCATTTCTTTTTAACACATGATAGTTTTTCGCACAAAAAGTATACTATAAACCAATCGGAATATAGTCTAGATTGTTAAAAGAGGTCTGTTACATGTTCATCACATGTAAAAAGGCAATAATTTCATAAATCTCTGTGTTTTTATGAAAGTATCGATTATCAAAATTACTCATTGACAAATATCGGATTCAGTAAAAATGAACATGGCAGTAACACTCTAATAAAATATTTATAAATGTTTTTTTTCATTTTAAGTACTTTAGTCAACTCAACTAGCTTTAAAATATCAAACAATACTCTTGGTGAAATCTAACAACGTTGTATGCACAAACGTGGACATAATGGACTTTGATTTCTTACAATTTTTTAAAATGATAAGCGGATTGTCAAAATGCCAAAATAACTGTTGAAATTACGTAACATTTGTTGTTTCATATTATTTGAACAACATACGAGTATCGTCTGTCATAAACCATGTGAATGAAATCACCTGGTTAAAAGAAATTCAGTAAATAACAAGTATGCATTTCATCAAATATACAATTTTTCCACATGATTAAAATATGTATCCAGAAATGAATGAAACATTTTCGGAATATTTACTTGTAACCAAAAAATATCGTACAACACTGCACAGTTTTAAGTTTAACTAATTTCATAACATTTACTTCCAACTATAATAGTGTTTAATTTTGTTTTAAACTCGACTACATACCTAGTAGTTATACATACATGCCTTTACAAGTGAAAAGGTTATGAGAAATCTTGAAAAAAACCCAGATCTTATTACGTTAATCCAAAACTTGGATTCATTTTATTATTATTGATTTCTTGAATATCCATATAGCTTGCTGATTTAACTCTGTTAAAATTTCCAGTTCATTATACTACCGTAATCCATTTATTGCAAGTTATACGTGATATATCATTTAATGTACTTAGTCACAGTTTGAGACCGTACACTAATATTAATTCTGAAAAATATATACATCAAATTATCCGTCACTAACATATTTTTTTTGTACAAAAGATGTTTTATGTGCTCTGTATTTTGTCTTCTATGTATATCTAGATCTTGGATAGATTGTGGTGAACAGAACATGAGTGAGGGACAATCGAATGTATTTGACACATAATTACAGGACTTGTTAATGAAATATAACAATCATATAGTAAATGCTTAATTTGAAAAATGTCCATCAATTGTCTCAAAATGACTCAGATTTGATTGTTCTTGGATTTTCATACAAACTGCATTCTATTTCCATTCTTTACTGTTCGATCCTCTTGTCTCTCTGCTGCCAGACATTCTGTTCACAACTAACGTCATATACTACTTATGCTGATGTAAGTAGTACACACCACAAGATGAATAAAAAGAAAAATACATAAAAAAATAATAATTCTGCTTTCATACTTTCTGTTTCATATAATACCATGCCAGATGAGCTTAAATTCCAGCTTAAAGGTCCTTGAAATAATTTCGTTGTAAAGTGAATTATCATTTTATTTGCCACATAGTTTTATTATTATTTATTGTTTTTAGGATTTAGAAATTTCATGTGAACCAGAAAATCCATCGCCAGTTAACGAACCAAACCTTCAAACTTGGACTCTGTCTTTGCAAAGTATTGTAAGACCAACCGAATCAGAAAGCATTTTACCTAAAGCAAACGAAATTAGTTGCACGGAACATATTAATATACACATTGAAAAAACAAAACCAAGGTATTATGTCGTTTTATTGCCTCATTGGTGTAAACAAATTAGTATAATTGATGACTATAATCATAAGGGATTAAGTATTTTGGTTAGCTATATTAGTCACTTAATAAAACTATAATCACTTCTTCTGTAGTGTTTCTGTAAGATTCTCTGGGTATTACGATGTTGTGATGGGAACTTATACATTTATCTGGCTGTTTTTACTGTGACATTCAACAAATAACTGAATTTACACAATGTTCAGTCTAACAAGCTTCGTATCTACCAGGTTATAATAACCATATGCAATGAGAAATAGCTATGATGAATCCAGTAGCAAATCAGTATTGCATATGACTGAAAAAAGTCAAGTTGTTTCCAGTGATGAAAATATTAACTTATATATTCTCGTAATAGTGATACTATCTCATTTTTCAGAATAATTTTATTGTTATCGATGTTCTAAGGATTTGTGTGGTAGGAACAATTACTATGTGTGTTTTGGGACTGAACTAACTTCTTGTTGATTTTAAACTGTTTCAACAAGTTGATGACAATCCTTTTATTTCCACTTTATTTATCGGTGGCATGACGAAATATTGGACGTAAGAATACTGAAATCCAAGGTTAGGGTTATCTGTTGATTTGCCTTCTATACATTGGATATCTACTCAAGGATCAGTAAATGTAACCATGGCCGAATAACTTTAGTGTGAAATAAACCCACCTGAATCAAAGTTTTATATATATATATATATATATATATATATATATATATATAGTGCTGGTTTGCAAAACGAGCTTGCACCAATCATGATGCATATCTTAGGATTCCTACACAGTTTGTAAAATGCATACTATCAGTGATTCCATCTTCAAAGTTACCACCTGCATCTTCCTACAGTAAAACAATTTGAAAACTATCCTACAAAGTTTCTTTGTGAATATACATCAGTTAAATCAGATGTATTTCTTGGTCTACGTAAAAGATTCCCATGCCAAATTATTAAGACAATCATCACTTCAGCATACAAGTATTTTTGTTTAACATCTGATTTAAAAAATTTACACCATTTACAACTTTTGATGTCCCTTTTTTTAAAAATACCTTCAAATATTTAAACATTGTCACTAGAATAATCTAGATTCGTTAATATCTTCAATGTTACTGTAGTCATACATTATTGTTGTTATGTTAAAAGAGATAAGTTTAGTTTCTCTTCTCATTTTTATTTGTATTTTATTTATCATAAAACCTAGTGAAAGCAAAATACAGCCTAATTTAGAATGTGACAGAAAGCTATGGCGTCGTCATTCACTGCGTATTAATCCTTCAGAATCTGATAATTATCAAACAACACAACGAAATTTAAATCAATTCAATGACCGCGTAAGATGATTCATCAATTTACACTTATTATATTTATAAGTGAACAGTTTATTAAAATATTGAAGTTATTTGATCATCTAAGGTTATATGCAAGATACATTTTTTTTATTCTTTTAAATTACTACTATACTTATCTGTCCTATAAGTTTGAGTACACTAACAACTAAGACAAATTAAAAAATGTCGGTGTGAAATTAAAATAATCAATTTTAGAACCTAGGTAACAAGGACGTTAAAACAAACATTGGGTTTAAGTCTCGATCATCTGATCTCTGGATTTCAATAGCCAATGATTTTTCAGCGTCTGCCTGCCAACTAGAAAATCACCATTCTGATAATACACAAGCTGAGTACTATTCTGCCCTCAAAAAAACTAAGTTCTCTTTTCCCGTTGTGAAAAAGGACAGAAACTATTGAAGCTAATCAGCAACGGAAAAGCTATTCATATAAATTCAAATAGAAGGAAAAAGTCGTTGGAAAGGAGTATTTACATAACCTCGTAAATTAGTTGCTTTTACTGGTTACAGTAGTTTAATCTTAGTATCTGTTGTGTAAATGTATTAAGCTATTGAATAATTAGTATAGTGCTCTCCTCAGTTAAGTTTCTTCGAAATCTAACTATTATTCCAAAAAATAAAGCATAAGAAAATCGATGTATTCAGACATAGCTTTTGATCTCAGTTGAAAGCGTTTAGTGGTTAATTATCCAAATTATTAAATCATCACTAAGAGAAATAAAAATTAATTGTGCTTTATTAACTTGTCAAACCTTGAATATCTCTTCTTTCACTTATGATTTTTTTCAGCCAAATCAAAGACTTTCTTTACCCCGTAAACCAAAAAACACTTCGCGATTTAGTATAGGGAGCTCAAGTGAACTTGATACTCCAAAATGTCGTAGTGTACACTTTTCAAATGATGTTTTAGTGGCTCACACTGGATCAGGACCAGAACCTTTACTATTATCTTCAGCTCCTCTAAAAGAACCAGCTTCAGATGATGAGCAAGAACAAAATGGGAAACCAAGTTACTTTACGAAACTTTCAGTTGACTGCGGTCATAATATGTCAAATTTTTTGAAACCTCCTAAATCTCGAACAAATATAAACAGACCTTCAGCTCCACTACCTTTTCGTCGACAGTTTGTTCTTAACACTTCAAATAATGTCAATTCTTAAGTGACAAATAAATACATGATGAAAATAATGTGCCGATATTGTTTTTCTGATTTCGTCATTAAAGGTCCATTGAATCCTACTATCTAGATAACATTTATTCACGTTTAAAAAGCTAACAATTGAAGAAGAAATCATTGATGCCCATGAAGTATTCAGTTTTTGCTTATCTCACTTGAATTATCACAGTCATCTCATATTCCCCAATTTTAGTGCCTTGAGCAATGCTATTAATTTTACTACGCTATTACTCATTAACTGATTGTGTGCATTTCGAATCAAATATGCTCTTTTTGTTAATTTTGATTATCCAGGGTTATTTATAATTCTGAATATCATCTTAAGCTTCATTCATCTCTATTTTCTTGTTACAATACATGGTAGAAATGTTTATTTACTAAACTATTTATTTAAACTAATAAGTTATTTAATAGTCTGAAATGGCAGATAGGTCCCACACAATACTTATGTCTGACAGTTTCAAAACTCAACTCATTTGAAACTGTCAGGAAGTATTAGATAAATTTTATCATATTGAATTATTGAGTTATGCCTTCAGATTCTTAAATAAAAGCATTTAACATTTATAAGTTATATTAATATAGTATGTAGGCACTATATGTAAATGTTTCTACTATGGCAGTGTTTATTTTTATGGTTCCATTATTCTCTCACTTCACTTAACCTTCTATCACACTTAACTATAATATGAATAATATTCATTTTGTTTATTTTCATTATTTGTATTCTTTACCACGAAATGTTTATGTCAAAATGATTGTCTATCACAGATTCAGATCAAAAATATATTATTCACACAAAATTTACTTCATATACTTATGTAAATGTTGATAACGATAATTTTGCTGTATTCTGTTGATCATTTTTACTCATGATTTTAATGAATAAATATAGGTAATTAGTTGGTTCATTCTTGTTTGTCGTATCCTTAGTGTATATTGATATTTATTAAACTAAAAGTCCTATTTTTCATGAAAATAAATGTATACTTTGGACTAAAGTACTATATTTCCCTATGTGAGCAATTTTTTTCGAGTTTGATTTGACTAGAGTTGTCACCTTAATTAGGACAAAAATGAACATATGTAGAGAGCTGACGACCCTTAATTTTGCCAACTTCTGTCCAGTAAAGAGGTCATCTATATAGATCGTCTGAAGCGTAGTTCGAGGAAGAGTTTCTCAATCTTATTCATAGAAGCAATAAAAACATTAAAAATGGTAACGTATATTTGAAGAATTATTATGCTTATAAAAACGAAAATATATTTATATTTGTGTTCACTTGACTATGTGGATGTATAAATGTCTGTGACTACAGTTTCATAAGCTGTAAAAAAATTAGAATACATTATGTAGAAAGTATAGATACAAGCCAGCTTTAGCTGTAAACACGTTTGATTTTTTTGACACACAGAAACAACCAAGAAAGAGTCTGGAACAAATATTTATCCGTTTATAGAAAATAGATTTATATAAGCACAACAAGAAGAAAGAAATGTAAATAACCTAACAACTATTGGTATAAAACCATAAGTACGGAAATATTTTAAGTAACACAGTTGTGACCAGAAGATGAAACACATGAAATATTAACAATGTGAAAATCGATAGTAGGGTGAAGATTGAATTCATCAATGTAGCTCTGTTCAATCTAGACTATATCATACATAGTAGATTACAACATAGATGTCATACAGTTATTAGCTGAATAATTTAATGCAATATATGGATGTGAATGACTCTACTCATCTTGACATCAAACTTTTGTGCTAACCGCCATGTATGATACGGTACATTCTTAAGATTGCCTTTATCCGTAACAGAATATGTCATAAAACCACTTTACATTTAAATCACTGTTTGCTGAAGTTACTAATCTTATTATTTATGAACCACCATAATTATCTAGAAATGTCAAAATTCAATTCATACTACAAAATGATTACATGTTTGAAGAAGGCTACATATAAACTCTGCAGAAAATCTCATATCATGCTCAGTCACAACAAAAATACAGGTAATTATAACAAAGCGCATCCAGGTTTAATGATAAATAATTTTTTTAGAATAATAAGTAATAAAATAAGTAATTAAGCAGTAGCAAATAATAGATCAATGTAGAGCCAAAAAAGAGTAGTGTATCTCTTAAGTGTTAATCATATTTTAATATTTATGTAATTTAAAGTATTTATTACTTATGTATAGTGAAGTGTTAACAGTCGAAAACTAATATAGTTTATTAACCATTACAAGTGAATACTTTATTACAATCTTAGGTCGAGGTATTCACTGAATTTATAAGTTTTACTGCGATCGGTTATAAATTGTTACCGAATATTTTTAAGTATGAATTCACTTCAGTTTGTACAGTTTCTGCAAATTGCAATCTCAACATCTTTAGTTTGGATTCATGTTCGATAGTGATTATAATCATAAATAATTTGTTTTATAGGATTCTATATCATTATATTATCGGGCAATATAAGGATGAACACCTAGATATATTGAGTTTATATTTTAACAGCACTTAAACCAATTACTAATTGTTTGAAATCTATAGAAGACAATCACAGTCGTTTTAATGTCAGTCACTAGATTGTCTTTAATCCTTCTTTAATTACACAATGGGTTACTTTCGTTAAGTGAATAATTTTACAAGACGTTCCGCTATAAAAATATTAAAGACAATACAACTTTGAGATATGTTACATTTCACTATATTTTTTAAAGAATCTTAACAAAAATTGTTGAGAGATCAATATTTTCAATCAATTGATTTATCGTAGTGTATGATGCTTTATTTAGACTATTATTCCAGGTTTTATGGCAGAACACAAGTATGAATAATCCGTAACAAACATTCATTTCATCTATTAAGATTTGTTTTCCATGTGATTGATCTTAAACGTAAGTAACAAGTGATTTGTTTAAAAACAAAACACTTTTTTTCAAATTAGATTGTACACAACTTGAATGTATCTTACGGAACCAAAAAATTATCGTGTTGATTCATTTTTAATATGAACATCAACGAAGACATTAGAAGTGTTAGTAGTATTTTTACTTTCAATAGCTACATTGTAAACGAAGCAAAAAACAGTTGTTTCTGTGTACATTCATCAATATTGTTGTATAATAATTACTAGCATTCTTTTCTGTAAAGACTAATTTGCTAAATTCTTTGTTTGATGTTTGTTCTGAATTCCCAGTATATTAACTGTTTTTGTTTATATAGATGCATAGAAATAAATAAAGAATATGGTTTAACGTAGGTCTCATTTCATACATATAATCAGAAAGCATTATAGATTAGGCATTTTTCATAATGACTGATGACCTGATGAAAATTAGTTTCACTTACTTTTGACACATCATTTTGCCCCTCGAATTCCATAGTATGATAGTTAAAAAGTATAGGAGTTAAAAGAAACTTAAATGGTATAATTTGCAAAAGTCATTTTTCAATTTCTAGTTAAATGAATCAAGCCTAAAAATGTATCAGTTCACATTACATTTTAGACAGCATCTAAGAGATAACTGCAGAAATTTTAAAATAAAATTTGAAAACGAAGAAAGATTGCAGCATGATACATCAAACGATTTCAAATCCTGCCAAAAAAATCTTAGTACACAAGACCAGAAAAATAGACAGAGCGATGGAACCTAAACAAAAGTTAGGCGAATTAGGATATTCACACTAAACAAGTTGTCGTAAAAATAAACTAAAAACTCTGATGTATTTCACCCAATGATAATAAATCCACATAAATTCATAAAAAAGCAGAACTACTAAGGAAAAGTTTATCATCATTTTAAATGTGAACCAAAAGAAGATCACCAAAAGCAATGAATATAGGATCATCATTTGTTGGTCAACATTAAATTATCAAACGAAGAGGTTGAGATGTGTATTCGTTCCTATGATATTATGCTGTAAGTTTACATGCAAATGAATTAGGTTGTTAGCAAGTGATCAAAAGTTCTAAAACAGAATGAGTATACATTATTTTTACAAGCTTTTTGTAAAGACTTTATTCAAACTTACAAAGCAGATATTGTGAAACAATTTATCAACCAATCAGGAAAATCATGCACAAATATAGGAACAAAAATCAAACCAATGGGAGACACAACCAAAACAAAGATGTAAACAATGATAAATTTAAGGTCGACAAGAACCAATCAACATCTAGGTGCACAGAACAAGCCGTGGAACACATATGGAGAAATTCGAACACTTCACTTCTACCAGAAGTTTGTGCTGATGATGTCGTTCAGGAGAACGATGAAAGCTCCACGACCAAACCATCCAGCTCAGAGAACAAAACTCCACCAAAATCATCCACCTGAGCTACAAATCTTCTCCACCATCTCAAAAACTTTTCAAAGAACGAAAGACATTCTCTGTAAGCAGAAATGGATGAAGTGTAACATCAGTATCCACGATGTGCGTTTTGTTCTATTTGCGACTCGTCAGACGTATATGTCTGCATCCCAGAGTTGATATTCACTCCAAGACTCAAACCTATTGTAGTTAAAGTCAATTATAGGATTCAGGTACGTCCAGCTGACGAGTTCTAAATAGAACGAAACGTGCTTCGTTTTAACTAATCTTCAAACCAGTTAAGATAATTTCAGAAAACGGTACCAAGCCTCACCGTGAGTACTCATGACTCTCTCTGAGGCGGTAGGACTTTAAAGATATCAAGATAACACAACAGACTGCCAGTGAAACTGTGACCGGCCTCAAGTTTTGTTGACTATGATAACTTATTGTCACATTTTGACAATAAATGCTATTATATCACACTTGAAGTAGAATTTTATTGAAATGATATAATTTTGTTTGTCAATGGGGTTATGCATGAATATCAGAAATTTGTGAAGTTATAGTGAAAATTCCCATTTTGACATTTGGTAAATAAAGAAGGAACGAATTGAGCGAAGAAATTTCTTTTCAATTAGTTTTTCATCATGGCTCTACACTAATATATATGATTTACAATAATGATATAATACTCGTCGAGTGGATACGTTACGTAATAACTACATAATGACATTTAAATTAACATTCAGTAATTGGAAGAGAGAGGATTATAAATATTCAAAGTAATCAAGAAGTTGCTATGTTGCGTAATATAAGAAACAAAGAAGGAATAGAATTTTACCGGATGGTCAATAGGATAGTAGTTACGTAAGAATCAAGAGATGAATGTTGAGAAGTTATAAGGCTCAAAAGCGATAGAAACAAAATTACAAAAATTTTAATATTAAAATAAAATGGAAGAAGTATGAAAAATAGTTCTTCTGACGGAAATGTTATACTGAAGGCCAGGGTAGAGAAAGTGGTTGTACGAATTTCTTTTGGATGCAAAGGTCAGGTTTGTGAACATGGATTGCGATGGCTTCCGCAATGTGCAAAAGGCGCACTCGTAAACCATGTGGTAGATTTGATGGAATATTGTAGATAACCTTAAAAGCTTTATTCACTTCGACTTGATGACCTGTGTCAACCAAGTGAGAGAGAATAGAACTTTTAATCACTTTCACCTGTCCTTTGCTTAGCCATGTTGGATGATGTTCTGTAATGCGGTGGATTATATTTGATAAGGATTTTCGAGGGTCTTGTTTAGTGTAAACCATAAAGAACTTCTACACCACTGTGGTATTTGACTCCTTCATACATGGTTGCGCGCTTACGACGAATACCAAATGTAATACGTCCATTTGTGCCCATCTAGTTCTACCTGCCTTAAATTGCACTATTTCGGAAGTTTTTAGTTAGTAGATCAGTCCAAATACTTCTAATTATCATAGCCGCCTGATCAATACCAAAAATATTTAGCTGTTATTATGAACGGAAGTGGAAGATTAGCATGATAATTAACTTCGATTTTGATTTATCAAGGTGTTACAAAAACGTTAATATTAAGGAGTTGCAAAAAAATAGGAGCCATATAAGTCCCTCTCATGGTCTTTCGAAATGTTTTAAGTGTTATATTTAGATGATTTAGGCTTGGGTATGTATTTTAGTTTCATTATTGAAGTGTATCAGTTTGAAGTTAGTATTATGTACGGTAGATTTCTTGTATGACGTTGTTAGAGATGAATTCATTTAATTATGTGATTTTTTCTTTTTTATTTAATAGGCCACACTTTATATAATCTATTTCATACGAGTGAATATAAGCGCTAAATTAGGTGGTCGAGGTTTCATGCTCGTTAAAGAATCGAAGGAGCAACAGTGTTATGACAATGATGAATTTGATTTGAGCGAAGAGATCAGTGAGGATGGCAAGCAAACTTTCCAGATAAGGAAGATAGAAAATCCACAAACAATGTATCAAAAATATGGTACAATTGAATAGAACATTATTTCTTCATACACGTAGTGTGTAAACTAAATCTTCATATGGTTATCTTTAAAAAATTGTTGAACATTGATTTAGTATGAGGTGGATACTATTTGTTAGTGTCGTATTCATTTCTATTATCCGATGTCAGACTGTTTCCACTTCTTATACTGAAAATGCGCTTCTAATAAATACCGACCAGGATAGCGAGGCATGTGTTTCACCAATCGAAATTTTGGCCCTTTTTATAAATCCAAATCAGATATAACAAAGAACTACCATTGGCTAAATATACTCTTTGAGATTACGGTCACTTATTGACGAAGTCAAGACCGGAACCAGCCAAAATCTGAAACCATTTTCGCAATATGGAATTTTGAATGGTTCTGTTATTCTATCTTAATGATATTGTTAAGTCAAAGGACAATATTTAGCTTACTTGCCTAGTAGTTCCTTTGATGAAAAAGGAGCTCCAAGTGGTTGAAATACGTCAAGGCTTTCTAGTGAAACTGAGAAATGAGTTCAAGGGCCACTGGTGTTATCTGCATGAGATTTCAAATATCACCATTTGATATTAATCCAACTTAGAGAAATGACTGTTCACCAACACTCAGCTTCTCCTAAATCCTACTTTGGTTTATTTACAGCATAAAGTCCTACTAGGGAATCACTCCAACAAGCTCGTTTATTTTGAATATTGAATACGAATCGGAACACATTTTATATGCTTCAAAATTTTCCTCTACAACTAGTGAGTTTGTTGAATGCTGTTTACTTCACACATTTGAGGATCTGAGACAGACAATACAAAGTGATGACTCATTGCCATAGATATGTAAACATCGAATAAACCACAATATTCACCTTGTGATAATCTAAAGATATAGCATAGTGACTTCGACGAGTTGTATCATAAGCGGTGTTCTCACATAATCCAACTTTGCTCGGGCAATACTGAAATGACTCACACAAATATTTCACTCAATGTTGAGCAAAAAACCTTATGGGTGATTGGGTTGCATTAATGTTTATTCAACGGCTTGGATACATGATTCCTGAAAAAGTGCCACTGAAGATAACTGTATGTACGCAATCATAAGTGTATTCACATCACCCTGTGAGTGATGTTCATATCAAACGTACAAGTTTAAATGTGTCAGTGACGTTGTGAAATGATGGTTGAAAATTAGACAAAACAGTCGGTCCTTAGTTCATTGGATATCGCACTCACTACTCACAAAATTTTCATCCTTCAATCGTTTAAGACATCTTAGCATATCTACTTTATGATTGAGATTTCGTACAAAACCATGTTGTTTTTACACGGAAAACTTATTTTTCTGGCCAGCAGTCTTGATTTCGATATCGGTTTATTCATATGATTGGATCATTAATCCGGCACTGTGAATAAATATATTTATTAGTGGTTTAAGCAGATTACAACAACCCGATTCTTAATTTTCTTGGTCCGTGATGTGAAGTAATATAAAGTGAACACTATTTTAAACTGAACATTACCTTAGATTCATTGTACTTTAACTGGTAAACTCATACGTTAATCAAGATAAATCTAGGTCATTCACAAGGCGCTTTTACTTAGTTATCCAAAAGGTAACCAAGATCGCATTATTGTCACAGTGATATCGAAGTATTGATATTATGTTTAGTTATCTAGGATGTGAAATTAGATGCACCACTTTCTACACATCCGGCCGAGTCAAACGCTTTGAGCCAACAATAATGTAAATTATCAGGGGAATGATTTAAGCGGTTTACATCTTGTGAAGAAGACTGAGATTACAAACAAAACAATTGCGAAAAATCTCAAAAGGTAAGGAGGCTGGATTTTCCCACTATAGGAGGAACTTTCATAGCACATACGCGTTGGAGCTTAAGCTTATGATTCTGTCTAGAATGAGGGTTAAACGTAGAAAAAGCGCAATACATGGTATAACAGAATCGTTAATTTTTGTATGAAGTAAAATCAAGCAGAATCAATCTGCGAGTATACAAACATCATTGTTTAGTATAAATTACAAATAAACATTAATGGAAAAATGAAATTCTAATACATAAATGAAAAACATCTTAACTTGGTTTATTCTTAGGAAAGTATTATTAAACGATAGAGAGAAAAATAGTATGATCGCTTGATAATGATGAGTGGAATATGAAACATGAGGATGAATTACAAACAGAATGTGGAAGCATAAAAGCTTTTCACAGCAGTGATAGAGAATTAACAGTTCATAAAACAAAATTGGTAACTGGAGATGCAATTAAAAATACAATTTTACTATGATAATAATATATGTAGTAAACAGGAACTTGAAGACAATACAATTCTAGATGGGATTATATATATACGAAAAGAAAATGTAGATTCATTGATCTTATTTCCACCTTAAAATTAGATTGAAAAGTAGAAAAATGAAGATTAATAGCGTTTATGAACAGGGAAAACAAACTTAAGATCTGTTGTTTGCATTACGATTATCAGTTGGAAAAGTCAATTTCTAAGTGAGAATACATGATACAAGGAAATAATCAAATGATTAAGCATTCGTATGTATAAATATATTTGACAAGATAAACAGAGGAAGCAAGTAGATAAACACGTACATTGAGAAACTACAAGTGTGCGTCCAACGGAACTTATCATAGAATCAAGAAACTGAATCCGTCGATTGGTCGGCCAGCGAGACTGACGTTTGAGGCCCACTAACGAAGGCCAACTAGGAAATTGAATGAACATGAACATATACAACGAAGTGATCACTGGCGAAAATACTAATTAAACAACAAGCAATTAGTACAAAGAGAAGATTACGGATAGCCAGTTGAGTATTGAGAATATAACACGTGAAACAACTGTGATTTTAATTAAGGGTAACATTTTTTCAAGAAAATGGTTGAGGGCAAAGAATAACTGAGAAATCGGATTGAAAAGGGAGAGCTATAGTTTTCGTAAGGCTACGTTGATGCAAAATATACTTAGAATCACAGTCCTGTGATTGCAGGAGATAAATACCATCTTCCTGAGGTGATTCTTGATAGTGAAGTCTCGTGGCTTATTCTACGGCTATCCTTACTGATTCCAAAGCTTGCTATAACTAATCTGAACATATTGATGGATAATTATGTACAACATTACGCTACTTAACTGCACATATACCCATACGAGGAACGAGAATCACTGGGTGATAAGTACTTTGAACAAGCTATTCTGCATAGTTTAAAAAACTACTTACTTGAATATCATCTAGGTACTATTTGATAAATGCAGAATATCGCTTGTAATGTACATCTCGTTTTAAAGAGTGCGGTATTCTATTATCTCATACACATGTAACTAGTACAACACAAATACACGGTTGGATGGTCGCTCATTGCTTAAGGTGTTCGGTTTCCTGTCATTAGGTTGCAGGCTTAGGAATCCGTCCACCTATTTCGGCATGAGAGACTGGAAAATATCATTAACCATGAAACTTAGTATAACTCAATACAGAGTGCATAATCCTGTACCTGGCAAATAAGTTAATAATGATAAACAAATGAACAAATTATTACGGATAAACAGTTATGAAAAAGTACTGTGTAACTAATATCAATTATTTTTAAAAAAATAAATCACTCAACAGTAAAAGACATTCGAGGTATGGAAGCACTTTAAATCCATGCTCAGACTTACAGGAGTTGATATTGGCAAAATAATTGTAGTCCCTAGAGAAGAAGACACAGGGGTACCTAGGGTAGTCATTCCTGCATTTGCTACTTTGATATCTGGAGTCGATACGGAATGAACATTATTGTTTTGTATATCATTTGAACCGTTAACTACAGCATATTGTCTGCCAGCCAGGGATCGTGAAGGTATGTTGGTTAAACCACTGGGGCCAGTTGATAATAGTGTTGGACTCAAGATCACAGCCGAACCAACCGCTGAGGGGACGGTAGACATTGTGGTGGGAGCAGATGATTCATCAATGAATGAAGACTCAAGTTTGCTAATCTAAGTATAGGAATTCACACAAATCACTGATACTCATAATGACTTACATGGATAATGAAAATAGTGAAAACGAAAAAGATATGAGTAAGCCAAATTCGAAATGGCAGAGGTTTACAATTTTCTCCCATCACCTAAATGTGAGTACATTTTAACTTACACTGAGAACACATGCTTTCTATACTGTCATTTCGTTCAATGAATCTCACGTGTCATATCTGCTTTTGCTCACTTTCAGTAACATAACAAACCGAAGCGTAATCAAAGCACCACGAATGTTAAAATATAATGCATCTGTGAGCATCACGAGATTGTTTTATCGTATTCCTAACTGGAATCCTGAATGCAAACTTAATACAACTACAAATCTACCGCAAAATGCAGATGAATCTATTCTTGTTTTATTACACAAAAACAAGTCGTTTTATATGTATCTGAAATTAAAATAACACAGACACAAATCTTCATATAGTAGAAATGGAGCTAATTTGTAATCTGACGTTACCTAAGTTTGTGAGTGGCACAATAAATTCCACACATTGCAGCTAATAAACACTTTTAAATAGACAACAGCACAGACCATCAGTTTGAGATAAAAACAAATAACAGTTAAGATACAGCCCGAGCTCCCAAGTTTGGGGAACTTTGGGGAATTCTGAGTAAATTTCGAGGAAATCCCCAGAGTCAAGTGACCTTGACCAAGGTCAAAGGGGAATTTCCCCAAAGCTCACCATAGCGGCTTCTCCAAAATGGGTCAAATTTTCCCCGAAATTGGGAGCTCAGGAGACACCTAGAAAAACAACTATTACATTTATTCAAGTATACCAATTCGCTACAGCCATTTGACTAAACAAATGGTGTTTGTTATTTTAATTGTACTTTTATTTGTTTGACCTTTATTAATTTTCATATAAAAATGCCTTGACAAGTATATGTGTGACCAGATTGTTCGAAATATATAGCGCAAATACATCACATTTTTCAGATCAACTCCGTCTTCTCATTGTTCTATCGAAATTTATAAAAGGGACTAATTGCTTTAAATGGTTTTTGTTGTTTCTGTAGGTGCTAGCGTTACTTAGTATGAAGAAAATAAGAATACGACTAGTCCATGAATGATCACAACACGCTATTTTAGGTGTTAAGTTACTCATCATGACACTTCAAATATAATAATGAGCAAGGACTAAATATCGATATAGATCTTGTATTCCATATTTATCTACAAATACAACCATAACGGCAAAAATGAAGATAATGAAAGAAAACCAATTTTCGCTCGTCGGCAACAGTCAAAAATGGTCAAACAACCTTTGAAAATATGAACTTCTAACAGTTTCTCCTCAATACAAGCATCGAAGTACAACCAAAAGCACAGATGGCTAGTAAAAATTTAAATTCTGAGTATTTTATCAGTCAGTCAGTGACAACGTAGAACTTCGTACATGCATACATCAGTTCAAGTTGCCATACCACATTAGCAAAGAGATACAAATGTCGATTCAAACCCCATAGTGGTAGAGGTAGTAAAAGTATAAGCAGTAATCGGAGAATTAAGGTTTGAAGATGTTATCCAAGGAGTATAATCCGGTGAAATAAATTTGGGAAGAGAAAAAAGAGGACATGAAGAATTCAGAAGATTAGAATTCGGGAAAACACAGAGTGGATGCACCCGCACCTAAGTATTTTATATTGTATTATTGATCTGTCTAGGTAAGATACTGAGCAAAGAAGACATTTTCAGTCAACTAAACTGCGCGAAACTTGAGAAACTCATTGAATATTTTTGATTACACCAGGTTATAAACATTAAACGTTACAAAAGTATGACAAATAACAAAGGACTTAGCTAATGTTATAATGGAGTAGTGTTTATTTCCTGAATTGATGTAACATATAAGCAAGTGAGAACCTACTTAAACCGTACTAAGAAAGTAATAACCAAAAAGAATAAACATTAAAAGACAGAACAAGTAAGAGGCAAGTCAATATTCAAACAAAATTGAATCCCACTATAAGAACAAGAAGGATGAGGGCGATGCTAGGAAGTCGCTTAGCCAACTATGGTGATAAAGACATGAAAAAAACGGAAAAAAGGCAATACTTTTTTCAAACAAATAATAACGCTCTAAAATCCACAAGTAGTGGTACTTACTTCACGAAACTTGACTAGAAACGCTCTAAGTGGTTCAATGTAATTATCGAAGCCAAGTGTATTCATAGCACACAGAATGTCTTCACCGTTAATAGTTTTACGCTTTTCCGTTTGACACTTATCAGCAGCTCTGTTTTCATATAAAAATAATATAAGGAAACTAACTCGCTAGTGATGAAACTGATAAACTCTGATACACATTCTTGCACACATTCTTTAGCATCTTTAGCAATCTGAAAAACAAAACGGATTTACTGACACTATTTAATATAATACTTTTCCATTCCCAGGTACTGCTCTTTTCATTATTTTAGCAACATTAGCTATTGGCAGAAAACGGTCCTTCCAAAATATTAAATTTTAGCGTTACAACTAACTTGCTCACGAAGTGGTGATCTTTGTTCGATATCACCCGCTTGATAGTCTGCATCATGATCTTGCAAAGAACCATCTAGACCCTCATAATACGAAGGTTCTTGATAACTAGATTCTTCACCCTGACTGTCTGTGCTGTGCTCCATAATACTGAAACGGTTAAATGAGACAGTAAGTTTGATGAACTCGATTAAGAAAATATAAGTCGGTAGTATCTTTGCTAAAGAATAACAACTACATACCAAGTACGGAAGTGAATCTGTTCATGTAACTGTAATTTTGTTTGGACAAGTTATGAACAATTCATTACCTGTACATTTCTAGCTGAAGTGAAAATAGTACAAAACAGGAAACAATCATATTGAAAATTTTCTAAATAATAAGGTCAGTGACTGTAAGTGCTACCTTGGAGAGTTGTTTACCTGTCATGATGACGTAATAGAGTTAAACTAACTGGAACATTAGTTTCCTCAAGTTCGAAAATGACAAGCTGTTTGCTTGGGGAGTGGCAGGTCGGAGGGCGAAGCACTACTGGTATTGGTGTGACGACAGTACAGTGTCTTCTCCCAGACAATCGGGATTTTTAGTGACCCTGTCTTTACAACAAGAACGAGAGATCAGGTAAAGTCGACCTTAAAAGTACCAAGCCTCACCGTGAGAAACAGATTTTCACTGAGGCGGTAGGACTTTGAAGATATCAAGATAACACAACAGACTGCTCAGTGAAACTGTGACCGGCCTCAAGCAGCCGTCTTGTGGGCTCTATGATCACGCTTTGCGGTCGTCACAACCCATAGACCAGTTTACCGTACCCATACCTCTAGTAAAACAATCTAGTTTTGTTCACAATCGAATTTTCCATTCGCTTCCTTTGATTTCGAAATAGATTGTACTTGCCACCAATGGTAACGGTCCGAGTTTACGAAATCATGTATCACATTACATCAAACTGCTGTAAAGTTCAACGTTCGAACCCTGCCGAATCTTAGCATATCCACCTACGATGAAGCTTGGCTATTACGGAGAGCCAACATGAATTACTCTTCGTGTTTATGGAGATCCACAGCAAACCGACTTACCCCTAAATAATATGACACCGTACACATTTCAATAACGCCCATCTTACAGAATATTTGGTAAAATTAAGTTGCACAGACAACCGATAATTACCGACCTATTGTGGCAAGTGGTTAGAATGTTATGTAAAAGTGTATCAAAAATTTGGTTACTTCATTTAAGAGGAAAGAATAAGAACCAAAAAACCTCGTCAGTTTCAAAAAGTATAAATAGGAAGCCAGATGAAACATGGTAATCCCTGCAATCTATAATACTATGAAGACAAAGTCTGGCTTCAGACGCTAAAACCGGAGTTGCTGATGTGTTGTGGAAGATAACTTCAGCAATTTTCGACGCCGCAAACGTTAACGATTTGACTTAGATCCTAGAACTCTCTGAAACTAGACTGTCAGATGAGCGTTAGAAGTAAAAGGGATAAATTACAGTAATACGAAGAAGTGCGGTTAATAAGAATAAACATCTGAAAGCATTTTAATAACAGACTGTATACACACTATATATCTTTGGTGGGAATGGTCTACGTATGAAGAAGTCACTTAACTTATAGAAATTCCATGAGTTCTAGGAAAGCCCTTATTTACTCATACTTTTAACTCTGCGAACGAAACAATATTCCGAAAATGAGTCGAGCTTACAATGAAAAGAAGTTCTGAATCGATCGGTTCAGGAGAGCTTTCAATATTTACTGTTTTGTACGCTTGACTAATTCAGACCCTTTGAGTCGAGGATACCAAGTAATTTAAGTGCATTGTGTTTTCAGTGAATTTGGACTATTACTAATGGGATCGAAGAAAACTTCTACTTAATGAGCATTTGTTTGTAGAGCCAACTGAGTGAAGTAGTTTCCAAGTAGCTAACCGTCCAAAGCAACATGTCTTAAACAAAGTAGCATTTAGTACTATCGTGTCAATATCAATATACAGAACTATAGTGAAGTGATATATTACGAAACCAATCAAAAGTGTGAAGACCACCAAACGACAAAGGAACTTGCACCTGAAGGTCAAAGTTTTTTCTTAATAAACACACACAATTTCAAAATGATAAGTACAAACAATTTTATTGATTTGTATAAGAAAATTCGATCTGAGAAACTGTTTCACCTATTTCAATTTGGATTTAAAGTTTTCTCAATCCCTTTATTTTGGGGAAATTTCGGGAAACTTTGGGTAAAGAATCAGGTTGTAGCGGTAAATAAATCCCCCAAATAAGTAGCTCTGTAAGTCTTCGACATTGGATGCCAACCATATTGGTCTTAATGGACTCACTTAGCTGAAGGCGCTCGTCCATGCATCCGCACCAGGCCACGGGTGGGAACCCCATGCTCAACATCCACTGCAATTGCTAGCCAGTCTAGATCATTCGATACTCCATATATTGGTAACCTGTCAAATTCATCTGCGAAGCCTTGTAAAATACCTGTGGCAATCTCGGGGTTTTCCTCAAAGTTCAATGGTCTTCCCCAAAGTTTTAGGGATTTCCACAAATCTAGGGAAATTTTGGTTGAACGACACAAAGCGGACAAAACTTTTCCCAAAACAGGGAGCATGAGTCATCATATGTTGTTGGGTGAAAAGCAGATATAAGAGTGAAGAAATGAACGAATTCGAAAAACAGATGATTCTCCTGTATGTAAATGTCCTTCCTCGTCTCCTATCATCATCGGTCTTGCTATATCCTGACGACGTTAAGGTATGGAGAGCAATAAGAAATAGAAGCGATAGATTAGAACTTCAAAATGACACAGGGAAATTATCTGAATGATCTCAGACTTGGAGATTGCCGATATGTATTTTCAAGTGTATTGTGGTACATGGTGGTCATCAAAACACAGATACATACATGATGAGTGACATTGAGCTACCTGTTGCCCAGACACATACTGACTAGTTATTCATCGTTTGCCAATACTTAAATACCGCTGCACACTGCCGTGCAATAGCCGCCAAAGGTTTAAGAACTTTATGGTCAATATGTAGGCCCTTTAGTCACGTCGACGCTAAATGTTTATGTACGGTATTCAGATGTCCTAAACTTGAGTACTGCATACGAGCGGTTGACCTCTGCTTAAAAAATGACGATGAGCTTTTGGAAAAGGTTCAGAGTACAGCAAATAAACTGATTCCCGGGATTGCGAAGCTTTCATATGATGCTCGATTGGCTAAACTTAACCTATTCCTGTCGTCATGTCGAAGAACCATAGGTGACATTATTAGAGTTTTAAAATTACTGAGTGATAAATTGTTAACCTGATATGCCCTCATTTTTCTTGTCTCCCAAAACCGAGAATTGACAAGGACACTCCGAAAAAGTTCACAAGCACAGAACAAATTATTTGTCGGCTAACTATCGACTTTCCCATCGATTCATCAACGAGTGGAATTCATTACCTCAACACGTGATTAAATCTCAATCTGTTGGCTTTTTCAGAAGAATTTTGGATCAACTAAAAGACCATTATTGCCAGGACTAACACAGGCCGACAAGCCTCCTATCCTTTCCAAACTAGAACTGTAAGTTATTGACATTGATTGTATTGAACTCACCTTAGTCGAACGCGATCATTCAACACTCCACACACGATCACTGGGCACTCCGTGCTACGCATCCCTCGCAATAACCAATCAGCTTAAATAGTAAAATTGTTCATTTGCGGACCATCCTACAAGTACGTCCTCGGACTCTCTCATTTTTGACTTCTGGCCTGACTGGCCTTGTGGTACTCGATTATAAAGGCGTTGCGATTAATAGAGTTTTCAATCCCTAAATGTATGTGGCGTCCTTAGTGGTGGGCTCATAGTGGTCTGTTAAACCAAATGAGATAATACGAGTCTGTTCTTTTTCGCAACATTATATGTATATATTCTTACATACTGTGATATTGCCATTGTGTTCTCAAATTCTTTCTGCATATTTATAAATTTTATTGTTATTACATCTAAACTCAAACCTTAACTGTCAAAGATCAGGACTCTCACACCCACACCTTGTAAATCATATCATTTTGGCTTTATAGGATTCTGAATTCCTTGAACACGGAGTAATAGATGCACACGCGCATTTTATCGCCGTAGGGAAGTCATGACCACGCACGTTCGTCAGATAGGTAATACCCAGTTTATTTACTAGTGATAATACTGAGTCTCACGGCACTCATAAAGTGCCTGCTCTTGAACGTATAGGCCCAGATACTCGATAAAATGATTGGCTCGCCACCCCATATTAGTGAATTGCAACACAGTTTGGGGACAGTATGAGGCCAGTGAAATTCCACTGAGTCTTAGTTAAATCGTCCGTCGAACAAATCATCGACCCTCGTCAACGTCAAGGATAACCCACGCGCATCAGTTGGACGTATGCCATCGACTGGCGCATGCGGTGGTTGTCTCGCTATCTTCTCTGTACTCATTCTTACCAATGCATTTTCATAATAACGTTCTTTGTGTTGTACGGTCTTCAAAGCAGCCATGATACTTTCATAGATCGAAGGGATAATCCACGTTAGATGCTGGCAGCAAGGTGTGACTTCGAAGTTATCTGGTTCGTCATACCATTCCCATCTAACTCGAGTAGACCTCCAATCATTGGAGATCCATCATCTTTGTGATCTAGAACGGCGATGTCGACATTGGACAAGGAACCTTGGTCAAAGACCTTTTAAGACAACATTTCTATCTAAGCTTTCCTACTCGGAGCAAGCTGTCATCGTTCCAGTTCAAAATAATGCTTTAAATGGGTCGGCAACTTTTGTCGATCATATTCTACAGATCACCAGAAACATCGTCGTCGAGACTTGATTTGTCAAAGAGAAGTCTCAGTCGGCACGGAAATAAATCATGTATAACCGCTTTAATCTAGACGTCCTATCGCACACCAGTAAATGATGCCCAACTCCTCCAAGTATCTCATTACACATAAGATCTGCTTCTAGATTACAAGAAACAGATAACTGTTATTCGTGTTGGCACCTGTGATGATTAGGAGAACTCTAATTATAGTATGCACTAAAATTCCAGAAATAACGCAATTGGATCAAGAAGCGCTAGATAAGCGCGAACGAATGTACTGTTGCAGATCACCAAAGTAGATGATCTATGTCGAATGATCGGAGGCCTACTCGAGTTAGACGTGAGTGGTGTGACAAACTAGATAACGTCGAAGTCACACCTCGCGGTCAGCACCTTACGTGGATTACCTTATTGAAGTATCAAGGTACATAGATGCTTTGAAGACTTTAAAATACAAAGGACTTCATTACAGAAATATATTAGTTAAAGTAAATGCAAGCGAAGGTAAGATCACTGTCGCACGGGCTAGTCCATGGCGTACGATTAACTGATGCGCGTTGGTTGTCCTTGACCCTGACGAGGATCGATGATTTGTTAGATATTCAATGACCTAACTGCCATTATCGGTCGCTAACACCATGGGAACCGCTCCTCGACTTAACACCTTTCTTAATGCTTCGATTGTGAGACCAGAGTTCAGTGAAGTTGTGAAAAAAATTTCGTGGCCTCCAAATGCCCTGATATCGCCGAAAGAGGGGTGGGTCCGCCCTCCCTCTCGAAATACTCTCACATGGCCAGGCGTGCACAGCCTCTGCCAGGGAAGTCTTACTCACTGCCTTCTCGTGGCGGGGGTGTTGTTTACGAGCATGAGAGGACGTAAAGCGAATGTCCGGTGCTTTAACCGGATCCCAAACCAATGGTGCACATGGGCTCCAGTATCCTGCTGGAACGAATGACGTATGAACCAACTTTCGGCCACCGGCTACCACGGGACTGCATCTCCTTACGATGCTCCACTGCCTTGTGGGTTAGACCATTAGGTCAAAGGCTCGGGATGTGGCCCCCTAAGATAATAACCTGCTTCGGTCTGGGTACCCGGGCAGTATCACAGCCCACACAAATAATGAACTGTCTATGCTTATGGAAACTACTTTTCTTGCTTCGGCTAACGATCAAATGATTCAAATTATTATTATTACTATTATTATTGTTACTATTATTTACTACGTCACTATTCACCCTCTTTTATTCCTACTCTATCTATGCTTATTTTTTTAACTTATACAGCAGCTCGTCTATGATGGAAATTCGACTCTATCGAAACTTTCCCGGGTCACTGTCCGGTTGAAAATTGTATGTTACCACCGAATATGAGTTTTGAAGCAGTTTTTCTAAGACCACGTGCACCATTCAAACTGGTTGTCTTCAACGTTCGCACACTTACGCTGGTCGGACAACAGATAGGGTTGGCTATGTCTTTATAAAGTCTTAATATTGATGTTTGTTGTCTATCTGAGACCCTTATTCAAGACTGGTGAAGTACTACAAATTCGCTCTTCATCTGTCGCTTCAAAAAGCTTGTTTTACGTGCGTTTATCCGGGGACCCTGTGGCATCTTCGTCTGGTCTTGCTGGCGTTGGTGTCGCACTAAGCGCTAGAGCTGAGGCAACACTAATTGATTGGATTCCCATTAACAGTCAGTTAGATGCTGGTAAATTACAAAGTTCCATCAAAGTGAGAAGAAATCGGCGTGAGAAACGATATCTTTTCGTCATCTTAGCCTATGCTCCGACAGATTGCAGCCCAGATGCAATCAAGGATGAGTTTTACCACCAGTTATCTGTTCTTCTCCAGGAAGTGCGTTCGACAGATATTGTAGTACTATCTGGAGACTTGAATGCCCAGGTCGGGCGTCTAAGCACAAGTAAGTATCGAACCGAGGTAGCTTCTAGGCCAGCTACCGTTCCACCGAAAAGTATAGATGAGCATTGGCTGCAACTTCATGACGCGAATGAGTCGATAGTTGTCCTTACATTTAAAAAGGGTTCACGTCGTTCCTGTAACAACTATCGGGGGATAGGTCTACTTCCGATTGCGTCCAAGCTATTGGCTTCCATCATACTTCGTGGATTGTTCAAAACCCGAGAAAGATTGACTCGCGAGGAGCAGGCTGGTATTCGTTCTGGTCGAGGATGCATTGAT